AGGACAAAAGTGAGTTTTTGAAAAATAAATAAATCTAAAGGACAGCTTTCTAAAATAAAGGACAAATAAAAGATGTATGGTCACTGTAATTATGAACAATAACCTTTAATGAAGAGCCCTTCATCCTGCAGTTACACACATGCATATGTATGCAGGGACTTTGTTCATTCGATTTGCTGTTGTAGAAAATTTAAGAGTAATCATTCATCCCCTTATATCTTGTATCAGGGTGCGGAGTTTGCAAAAGAATGATGCCAGCATTCCAGCAAGCATCCACAGAACTGAAGGGCGTGTATGTAAGTGAGGAGACTTGTAAGACATTTTGGGGTTTTTTAGTACAACTTTATTACTGTGTTTTACGAATGTAATTGTTACAGCATGCAAAAACATACTTAAATTAAACAGCCAACACCAGTATTACTGTATTTATATTAATCCTCTGGGAACATTTACTTCAAAGTATCAATTTCGAACAGGGTTCCACAGGTCCTCTTTATACCTGAAAATCAAGTCAAAATTAGATTTCCCATCTGGCTATTTTACATACCGGGGAAGCTTACTTTGAATTGAATATAATGTAGTACTATGAAATCAAGTGTTTCTAATTCTCCCTCCTGTTATATTTTATTACATTTATATTCCCCCTTTCTTCCAGGAAGTAGAGAGTTCTTCACAAATAACACACTGGGAAAGTTTAAGCTGAGTGGGAATGACTGGGCCATCCTTTGGGGAATTAGTGTCAGATTGATATTTGCAGCGAAAGTCTTGGACTGGCTTGTCTATTTCTGTTGCCTGTATAGTTAGATGATTGCATCTGTAACTCTGGCTGAGTCTGTCTGTCTGACCTGCCTGCATGTCTTTCAGGGAGTTTGCATACATTTATTTCTCTTGTGCCAGTGCACCATATCTGGTAAAAAGTGCAATAAGACTTGATGCTTGTATATGTGTTTTTTGTCATGAGCAATATATTAATCTTTTGCTTCTGAGAATGCACTAAAATGTATGGATAAAAATATATAGTGTCTTGTGGTATAAGAAATAGCTTTCTTTGAGTATGCATGTTTGAAGTACAGGACCCACTGCAGTTTATTGTTTCATGGCTTACAAAATTAAATGTATATTTTTTTAAAAAAGAGGGAATATTGAATATTGCAGGAAGACTGGTAATGCAAAAGCTTCCTCCAATGTAAAATGCTGCTATTAAAGACTAGATCCTATACTAGGCAAGTCACACAAGCAAAGTTAGCCATATCAGCCAGAAAATTCCAGAGTTCATACTGAGTTCATCTTTGTTAGGGCAATGATAATAGAATTGTCAATAACATGAGTCAAAATAAAAGGCGGATAATTTTATATAACCTTAATCTGGAGTTTCATTCTGTGATCTGGCCACCCAGATTGATTTCTTTAACTATTGGAAATTATCTCTAGCTTTCTTAATTAAAAAACCAAACCAAACCAAAATCCTTTCTAGTGTCCTGTTTTCATTTACAAAAGAATTTACCCTGATGAATAATTCTGAAGACTTCAAAAGCTTTTCCAATTAGCTTTAAAATATTGAATTAATATGGATTTTGGTTGCTTTTAATATGTTCAGCATGGCAACATTTGCTCTTCATGTGACACAGAATATGAAGTGGTTTAGGTTAATTAAAGAAGTTTTACAAATAATTCAAACAGCAGCTCTATCCTCATTAAATAGGAGGGTTAAAAAAAATCCCACTTTCTTTTCCAAGTGGCTAAAAATAATAATGTTGAAAAGCAGTTTTTAAAAACAAATATTGAAAAACAATGATTAGAGAAAAATACAGGGAGCAAATTAGAAAAGATGCTAGCAGAACCTGGCATAATCCTTCAGGAGCAAAAGACAGTAAAACCAATCGTGACCAGCCTAAACTTCTCTGACAGCAGAAAAGCCCTTTGTTGGCCATTGATGGAGATGCAGAAAAGTACAGTTTTTCACAGATACCTTGCAAAGGACATTTCTAAGTGATAATTCCAAAACCTTAAAAGTCCTGCCTCTTAAGGCTGTCTGATGTCAGAAACAGAGGATGTGACCTTGAATGTGGTGGAATAGTGTTCATGATGGAGAAATCAATTGACTGCATGGGCCAGAGCCCTCCAGGTGTTACTAAATTCCAATTCCAATTCTCTCTAACTAGTATGGTCTATTATGAGGTAATGTAGGAGTCCAGTAATATGTCCTGGTGTATGCATTGGTAGTTGCATTGTTAGTACTGATTATTGCAGTCATTTATCATTTTCTTCCATTGTAATTAAACCGATTAATATCTGTATATCACTTCATTGCACTTTTGAAACTTCAGCTTTTATGGAGGTTCTGGATATGCGGTAAAGGGAAAACCTCAGCTTCCTTGTGAGAAAGCCACATCAGCAGGGCATGAGTGTTTGCCGACTCAGTGCCTGCTGAGCATAAAGGCTACTCTGAAGAAGAAGAGGAGGAAGAAGAAGAAGAGGGGTGGGGGTAAAGAAAAAGATGAGAGAACCCAGAAGCTACTGATCGGCAAAAAGAAAAGTAGGCAGGAAAACTGCTGGATTATCCTTATCGGGCTTGTACAAACAAACTCCCCCACCCTTGTACACTGGCTGACCTTGAATCAAGGTACTGCCCAGGCAGAGAAGAGAGCAGGTTGCTCAAGATGGACAGTTAGAAGGGAAGGAAGAAAGTAGGGACTACACAAGAACGGAGCTGCTGATGCATCCATAGCTGAGGCTGGAGAGCCTATTGCTGATGAGAGAACAGGAGAATAAGCCTCAAATTGCTGCTGCTGGAGCAATTTACCTCCTTGGTTGGGGTTTTTTTTCCCCAACAATTTGAGTTCTTAGTTTGGACTGCTGTGGCTCCAAAGAGTCTGTTTTTTGCTTTCAAACCTTGTCCCTGAGTACTTAACAGATGGAGCAATTCACCAAGTTCTCTACACCTTTGGAAGATCAGTCAGCTCCATACCTCTCTGTCTACAAAGGTTTCCACCACAGGATACATTTCTTTAATCAGATCTTGTTTTGAGATGCAGTGTAAATCTGTATTCTTTAACATGTTGCCCTTCAGATATGTTGGACAACACCCATAATTTTTTAGCCATGCTAGAGTTGAATTCCAAGTCTTTCAGAGCATCAGTTTGTAAGAGGCTGGTTTAACTATCATGATTTTCAGTTATTTTGCAGAATTATCAGGAGCTTTATCTTATAAAGTGTGGTGATTAAAGGTCTGGGGAGACCCACTTTCAAGTCCACGCTCAGCCATGGAAGTTTACTGGATGACTTTGAGCAAGTCACTTCCTTTCAGCCCAACCTATTTCACAGGGTTGTTACTGTGGGGGAAAATAGGAAGAGAAAGTTCTATGCATGCCAGTTGGAGCTCCTTGAGGAAAGGCAGTATATAAACCAACCAACCAAATGAACAAAACAAGTAAATAAAGGAAACTCAGATGCTGCAAAGCAGGAACTATAGATCAGGAGAGGTAGAATCATCAGGTTCCTCTGTGTGAAATTGTGCCCTGACTCATTCAGTGGAACTTTAAGTTAAAGTAGTATTTTTACTAATAGCAGTCTCTTAGTATCAACTGCAGAGTTTATTAATATACTTATGCTTTTATATCAATCACTGTTTTTCTAATCTGAGACATGGATTTTTTTTCCCACAGTGGAAAGTACTTGGTGATTCTCCTTGGAATAAATGATGCTTCTGGAAGGTGTACATTAAGCTTTGTCAGATGCTTAGAGATGATTTTCATGTATTTGTGTGGCTAGCACAATAATTCCTAATCTATTGTAAAAATAATAGTATCGCTTCAGTTTTATTGTACTGTCTAATTGAAACCAGTACTTGAAGCAGAACATCACTGTCTGAAAAAAAAAGTGAATCTGGCAGTTCACTAAAGACAAAAAAGCTTGCGTTTTCTAAAGAAAGTAATAACATCTAAATCTTGAAAGACTAGTGAAGCATTGGACTGAAGACAGTTAGGAACATAGGTAAGACCAGGCAAGTGGAGTAAATGCAGATACTGTATATGTGTACATATCTAATTTTTATTTCAAATATAGAGAAAGATTCAAGGACAGAGGAAAAGACCCAATATGTGCAAAATTTTAACTGAGATTCATCCTATTTTAAGAGATGATAACTAGAAAATGTACAGATAATGAATATAATGGCATATATATGGGTACAAAACTGATAATTATATCTCTGCTAAGTTTATTTCTTCTCAGTCAGAGCTCTTTCATAGGGAATGTGATTTCGATTGCAGCCTTGACACCTACTGGATCTTTTGTTGCTTTTATAGATAATAAGTTTTATGGATCAGCCCAAAAGGTTTTATAGGGTTTAAGCCTATAATTGTTATGCTATCTTAAATTTACCAGTTATTCATTTACCTATAAGATCATGGATATTTTGCTGTTTTTTCTCTTTTTTTTCTTTGCATTAGTCGCAGATATTATAAAGTTTGTTTTGTTCAGCTTCTCCTTTCCTATTTTTGGAAATGCCATAACATTTCACCAAAAGATAATTAGCACCTGGGAAGAAATTGAATCAGGTTTCTTCAAATTAGTTTTCTGAGGAAGCCTTTTTTGATGTGTAATATTTCATTAAACATGGATAACTGGACAGATCCACAGCAGACTAGAGGTTGCACTAATTTTATATAAGCCAAGGATTTGCAAAATACAGGTTTTTCCAGTCATTGGCATATAAATGTCTGGCTGAAAATTTAACACTTCCTCATAAAACCATTAACTCCCCTCTGAGAAAAGTTCATAAAAACAGAACTAAGCAAAGATATTTTGGAAGCAATCTTTTGCTATCCCTAAGAGTGGAATTAGCTACATCAAACATAACATTGCCCAGTGACTTGCTATACCATACTTTTCCCTGCCCTTAATCCATAGACCAGCCTATTTCTGGTGGAAATAGCATTCTGAAGAATGGCAAAATACAAGAATGGGGAGACAAGTTGGCAAGGTGTTGCTTTTTAAAACAGCAGCAGCAGCAGGTCTATTAATAAACATACTTTTTCTAGTCTTCAGGACTGAGAAGAATAACTGCGAGACTATAGCTGGTTGTGAGGCCTGTAGAATTCAGTCTAAAAGGTTGGAGAGTTACCTTTCCTCCCAGGGTAACTTGACATACTACTGTTTTCTGAACTGAAAAACTGAATGAAGATCTCGAGAGATAGCCTTGCAGCTGGGATAGATGAGAAGAGAGAAAGGGTCTTCCCCACTTCTCATTTCTTTGACTGGTTAAGAAGAGTGCAAGCAAGAAAAAAAAAGAAAGCAAAATCTTGAAAACAACTTCCCAGGTCTATAATACTGAGATGGTGGGTGTAGGAGCTTCACTATTAATCTATCTGGCATTGTTCAAAGTAGGTGTTGAGCATCCAGAATAGTCGATAAGGAAAAGACTTATGTGCACTCTTAAACATTTGTCAGGGTTCCTGGGCAACAGCTGACCTTCTTATTTGGATGATCTACTTTAACATTTCATACCAGCTCTGAGCACATTTGGCCTCAGCAGTTCCTTCATTTGGGAAACTGGCATTAAATTCTGCTGTGGCATTTTATGTAGAAAGAGAAAATCCTGTTCTTGGATGAGGGACAAGTAGGGGAGATAGATTAATTCCATGCTGCTAAAGGGATTTAAGCCTTCACTGGTATTAATCAGAAGTTAATCTTTCAGTTGTATCTTCAGCAACTTGCTACTGTGGGATAAAGCAGCAAGACTACTTGGATCAGAGAGAAACAGTCCTGTCCTCAGAACAGTTTCATTTAAAAGTGCTTGGGGCTTTTGAGGAGCAGAATGATATATTATTTCACACAGAGGATCTCAAGTTACAAATTCTGGATCTAAATGCCTCTTTTTAGTTTTGCTTGTGCCAAGGAGTGAAGGGAAAACTCTGAATCTACTCCCTTTTTTATTAAATAAGGGCCTTGTACCTCAACTGCTACTAGTGTACCATGAGTGAAGCTCCAAACATATCTTAGTGGTACAATTTCCAACAGATATGAATGCTAAGTCTGAAAGACTCTGTTAATTTCCCTTGCTTGAGATGTTTTTAAGTTTTTTGTCTAGAAATGTAACTTCATATGCCTGGAGTCTATACTGAGATTTCATCTATATTTCCTGAGCTTATGTCATATCTACAAAATTAGTAGAATTGTGTGCAAATAATATGCTTTTCCAGGATTTGATAGAAGCTGCTTTTTTTCACCTGTGAAGTTAAAAATAAAACTGTTTCCACTCCCATTGGTTTATTCAGCCTTGCAAATTAACCTACAAAAGTATTACATAGTCTGGCCACACTATCTTGTCCTAGATTGTGTGCAGCCAATTTACCCTGTCTAAAATCCTTACTTGCTACAGGAGGCACAACAAGCAAGTGACTCTTTAGAAACCTAATAGAAAGAAAATTATTAGGTCTAAAAGAGAAATTGCAAATTTGACTTACTGCAAAAGCTTTTTTTCCAGGGTCACGGTCATCTCATATGCTTTGAGAAATATTCAGAAGATTAAGAGTTCTTCATAGTCCATATGTGGTCAAGATTATATATATATATATATATATTTTACTATTCATGCTACTAATTTAATCCAGGATGATATGCATGGAATTCTCCCCCAATTATCTTTGTAACCGTCTTGTAAAATATCTTAGGCAAAGTGGTTGTGATTTGTTGTACAAAGCTATCAGAATGTTATGATTTCAATTCTCTCTGGTCTTCTCCAACCATCAATCACTATAAACCATACAGGTTCTCAGAAGCTTTTGACACCCTTATAGAATCTGAATTTGTTACTCATGATGGCAGATGTGAGTAACATACTTGTATCATGAGGAAATTGCTACCAAATAAGGCTTTTGATGTACAATATGCAAAATAGCTCTTAACATTTCCTCAATTGGACTTATTTAAGCTTCCTCTGTTATGTCTTTAAACTTAAGACTTATTTACATGACCATGATTGATAGAAAGGAATCTATTAACAGAATAACATTTAATAGACTCTTAAAATAATTATTTGCCCAGGAATTATTTGTTGGTTAGTTGCTAGCACTGACACTATGGCAAGCATAAAAGAGGGGAACTGAAAAACTAATTGTAATTTGTAATTTGTAGACTAAATGTCTGCTTTAAATTGATCCCTTGGCCTCGGCTTCTAAGTCATGTATGCAGTAGTTTACTTTAGACAGTTCTCCCACATCACTGCATATGCTTGTTACCATATTAGGTGGTGGGGTGGGGGATGATCTCTAGATGTTGCTGAACTACAACTCCCAGCTTCCTTCATGACAACTCTGTTTGGGTCTGCTGAGAATTGTAACTTTTGGGGACCACAGATTCTACAATTACGTTCTATGAGGACACAATTAATTTTTCTTCATAAATAACAGCAACAAGTCCCAGCATGTAAAATGGCTTAAATTTTATTGTACAACTATAAGCCCATTAAGGAATAAATCAGAAGATGTGTAAGTAGTATGATTACCTTGGTTTTTAGTGGGAGTTGCTAGCAACCACAAGTTATTTTCAAATATTTCTTGCAATTAATGTTGGGTTATCATGTTTTGGAATAGCTGATTGGAGTAAGAATCTTTTGGTTCTATCATTGCAGGTACTTGCAGGGATGAATGTCTACTCGTCTGAATTTGAAAAAATAAAAGAAGAATATAATGTCCGGGGATATCCAACGATATGCTACTTTGAGTCAGTCTCTACTTACTCTGTATATAAGTATTGCTTATAATTGCGTATCTATATCTATCCTTGTCTCCCAACTCCTCTCTGTTTTATTGCTTTTACAGAAAGGGGAAATTCCTGTTTAATTTTGAAAACTATGGTGCTACAGCAAAGGACATAGCAGAATGGCTGCAAAAGTGAGTTTTTATACATCCACATCTTTGAAAATGCCATTTTTTATAAGCATTGGGGGGGGAAAATCCAAAGTATACATAAAAGCATAATATTGAGTTAAAGGTAAACTTGAGCTATCACTTACTTTCATTCATCATGCTTTCTATTTTGCATGTGTCAATTACAACTCTCTATTATCTTTTCCTGAGCCTTGAACTGGTGTCATTGATCTATGTTAAGCCTTACTTGTAAAAAACTTTTTTCGCACTTTCTCCTTTGCACCTCAGTTAGGATATATTGCCCAATAGTTCTGACACGCTCTGCATGTTTCCTTTCTCTTGGGCTGGTGGGGGCAGCAGTGGGCAAACTTAATGATGTACTGTACATGCCATAATCATCACAGAGAAACTGTGGCATTTAATATTCTAATGTCAGATCTGTAGAACAATCTAGATTTCATGTAACTCATTCCTTCTCTTCAGAGCCAGTAATGCAACTTAGGAACAGGAATAGTAATATGACAAGGAACAAAATGAAGCAAATGTGAATGTATATTTACTAAACTAACAACTTTATTAGCCCAAGCATAATTCATTGCCAGAAGCACCTTGGGGGAAGTTCTGTAATTTAGCATGGATTGAAAAATGACAAAGAGGAGATACAGGAAACAGGCCAGAGTCTTACGGTTCGCTGATACCAATTTTTTGCATGTGTTAATAGTGTTGGTACCTCTGTGCCATTATATTGCTAAGAAAAGTTGTTTTGCTATATGGTATTTGAGCCACGTGAGGTCCAGAAATGATTCAGATATCTTAATGTATTTGATCTTTTGTTAGACTTGCTTGCCCATTATTTGTTCTGAAAGCAGATTGAGACAGTGTGCTGTTTTAAGGGCTTAGATTGATATGATGTGTTAGGATAACGTGAGTCAGTGATGATGTACCACTGAAGGAAAGTTTTTTGTTTTTTTTAAAGCTGAGTGCTTAAAGCTTTTTTTGCATCTGTTATATGAGTTACCCTAATAATAGCTGTCAAAAGATGATAAATGTCATCCCCAAATTAGATATTTGGAAATATGGGCTGAATTTGAAAAGGCAGTAAGTGTCACCTTAAGTACTGTATCTCTGCTAATTCACAGCTGGGCTGAAATATGCTTGAACACATCCAATTCAAATTGGACTATAATGCCATTATAGATTGGTAGTTTGTATTGCTTTTTATTCTTCCCATACCTAATGCTTATATACCCAGTGTTCCCTTTTGGATAATACAACATTATGCAGAGCACAGAAAAGGAGTAAGAAATATAAAGTCAAAGACACTGAAGGTGTGAAATAAGAAAAAGGAAAGGAAGCATCAGTAAAACCAGTTTACATGAACACCATTTGTTACACCTCTTCATGCCTTTTTATTTCTGCATACTATCCTTGTTTCTACTGTGTCTGTCCATCACTCCATACATTGCCCTTCATTCTTTAAACTTCTCTCTTTTTCAGCATCTCATCAACTCCATCCAAACATGACTTTTTCAGTCTTTTTTGACTCATTCACTTTTCCATCATTTATTTGTTTTGCAGTTTGACCCTTGTTCATCCTCTCTATATTTCTGTCAACATTTGCACATCTTAATATGCCTTCAATCCATTTTCCCCATCATTATTAAACATTCTACCAAGGTATAGAAATCCATCTACTTCCTCTGCTTTTTTGCCTTTTATGTAACAATTGTTCTCTCAAATTTCAGATATGCAATCCTTGTAGCCTCTTCCATCCTAACAGTCACTGCAAATCATTTGGATTCTCAGCAAACAACACAACACCATCAGCATACAAAAGCACCCGTACATTCATATCCTTAACGAATATCCCTCTAACCTCACCACAAATATTCCTTATGCACTTGTTCACAAGTAAAGAACCAAGGGGACATCACACATCTTTTCCTTACCCCCTGCTCATGTTCAATCACCCCATTTATTTTTATGCATACTACTTTCATCATATACTACAGTCCTGCTAGAATGGAGGCAACAGATAAATCACACAAATAAACAAACCACTCTTATCACATTCACATTCACAATCAACATTCAACTCCATATTCACCCAAAATATTCCATAATTCAAGTTTGTTCTCTTTATCATACACAAATAATTCTTTCTCACATGTATATATTTCTTAGTGATCTGCTAAAGAGCAATAATTTGATCTTGCCATAGCTTCATAGACATGTTTAACAAACTCTCCCTGTAGTTTTTGCATTCATCCTTGCTACCTTTCTCTTTGAAAAGGGGAACAATAATGGCATTCTTCCAGTTGCTAGGCACATGTGCAGTTTTCACATGCATGTTAAACAAGTCACACAGCCGGTCCATAAATGAGTCACATCTGTATTTTAATATTTCTGTAGTCATACTATTTACACTGAAAGCCTTTCAACATTCCAATTCCATTTATGGCTTCTTTTTCATCAGTTTTTTTTCTTGGACACTAATTTTAATAGCATTAATTTCAGTACTACTATTCACACCGCTATCATTCACATTTGGATCTATAACATACTCCTTCCAACATTTCCTCACTTTAGTTTGATCCCAAATTATTTCATCACTTTTACTGTTAATTCCTTTCACTGTTCAGCAGGGCTCCTTATTTAGACATTTTTGCCTACATCCAAAACATTTTTTTAAAAAAATTCTATCAAAACTGCTTTGTGTTTCTCTATCACTTTAATCTTAACAATCCATTGCTCTCTTTAGCTATATTTTTATAACTTTTTCTCTTACACACTGTCTTTCAGATTCATTTTATGTTTCAGTCATTCTTATATGCAGTTTTTCTTCATTCACAACCTCTTGCTTTTCATCAATCCACCAACTATCCTTTTTCATATTTCCCATTAAATGTAATATACTATGCAACATAATTCTTTTCATTTTCTTCCAAGCAGCTCCATATCCTCCTTCCTTAGGTCCACTTTCCATGCATTCTGTTATGAATTTATCTCCTTTTTCATGCAGAGCTCATATTTTCTCTTCGTTCAGTCATTCTACTTTAACCCTCATTCCTTTAATTTCTTTCTATTTCTTTTATGTCCATTTTTCTCAAGATCTACTCTTGATTCTACTCACAAATGGCCTGTCCCATTCAGAACTTCTCATCACCTTGTTACCTTCTTCACTCATTTTCTTGATCTTTCATCAGAAATAATTAAATCAATCATGATTTTAGATTTATATTAGTTCCTTTGCCATGTGTATATATGAATAGAATTATGTTTAAACAACATATTTGAAGCAGAACTTTTTCTAACTAGATGCTCACAAAACATGCACATTCTCATGTCACTTGGATTGCACTCCGTCAGAATGTTGTAAATTTTTGCCAAAATTAATCCCTGGTTCTTTCAGTATTACCATTCACTGGACAGTAACATGCAATTATCATCAACCAAGGGATTCCTACTTTCATATGCACTACAACAATCTATGTGATACCAATTCATACTTTCTGAAATACTCCTTAACCTTTTCACTTATAATTAAATCTACACCTTCATTTCTATGCAGATATTCATCAACTCAACTCAACTCCATTCTACAAGATCTGATGACTTTGGTTCAAATTTATTACACTGTTCCCCTTTTTCTTAGTTTCACAAGAAATGTAGATTTTTCTTCAGTTTCATTTCATTTGTTAATTTGTGCTCTTTGTTCTTTTTCTTGTCTTGCATTCCAGAACACAATCTTTCATATGCCATGGTTATTGTCAGATGGGCCCATAAATATTCATCACCATGCCTACAGTGGCTGGAGGGGGTAAAAAAATTGACCACATATCTGAAGCCCTGCTGCTTTGTATAGAAGGCAGGACCTGATCACATGGCCATAGCCACCATATTGACTTTTTTGACTCCCTTTCCCTCTGCTGACAACCTCAACTGCCTATTATGGCTCTCATGAATCAAGCTTTTCACATTACACTTTTTAGTAAGATAGAGAATGTATATGCTAGGCTACCAATTATTTGTACCTTTGTCACACGTAACTGACTTTAAGGACAGCATTAGTCAGTTTTGGCTCATTTTGGTTAGTATGTTTGAAATGTATCCAATGTGTAGTTTTACAACAAACATGTTAACGTTATTCTGTGCAAGGTTATACAGGTAGTCCACATTTAGTGACCTCATTCGCAGTTGTGATAGTAATGAAAAAGTAACTTGGTGACCAGTCCTCACATTTATAATCTTTTCAGGTCTGTAAAGCAAAAGAAAGCTGAAGAAAGATCATAAGCACAGTCACAGTTTCACTTAACGATCTTTTCGCTTAACAACCAAGTTGCTGGTCCCAATTTTCGTTCCCAAACAGGAACTACCTGTATCTTTAATCTAGAGAGTACTTTGCTAGCCATCAAATTATTGCCTTCATGTCTGTAGTCTGTAGGCATAGCCATTAAAGAACACAGCTGTGTTTCTCTTAATTCCATGTAATACATTTAAAAGGAAATATTAATAATTGCAAATGTGGAAGCTATTTAAATATGCTAGGCTTCTTTGGGAATTCAGTGTTCCAAGGTCCCTGGTTTGCTCTCAGTACTTTCTGATTATGCTGGAGAGTGGGGTGTTTCTGGTAAAGATGGAAGAGACATCACAGAACATTTAGGGTGCTGCTTCTTACAGTGTTGAACATTAAGTACATTCAGCACATGCATGGGCAGATCAAAGAGGGAAAAATGTCCTTAGTGTTAAAGCCTCATTGGTCTTTTAAGGAAGCAAGACCAATGAATGCAGACAGGTTTTCTTTCCCTACCCTGAACAATGGTGCAAGCCTTCATCACCTACAGCACCTCCTTTTGCCTTCTGGCTCAGCAAGGAGGTCCTTATCTCTTAGCAACCACATGTGAACCATTTGAAGAAACATCTAGAGGTATTTTTTTTCCTTCATTTCAGATTGCCCATGTTATAGTCTGCTAATCCCAGTACTATGCAATGCTTTTATATCAGTGCTGTGACAGCGACTGGATGCAGCTACTGAAAGCAAAGCAAAACAGCTGCAGACTGTTTCCAGGGATAATGTCTGCTAACAAGCCACTCTGGGCTTTGGCTGACATTTCAGCCATCTAGAGTTAAAGACAGCTGTTTGTTCTCAATTAATTTCCAATGCATGTTTAATAGTTTCCCACAAGGAAAAATGATACTGCAGCTTTTTTTCCTCTTTCTGAAGGGAATCAATAATGAAGAAAAAAATCATACTGAGAAATCATGCTTTAGTTGGGAACTAACAATAATTACGTTTGCCATTATAAAATGTTTATAGTGTAAGCCCAGCACATATGCACAATAATAATAAGTAATAACTCAAAGATGTTTTTAGTATGAATGGTCCAATATTCTGCAACAGTCATTCAAAAATTCTGGAAAAGTATAATTGAACATTTTGATGTATGTTCGCCCTATATGGAAAATAATAAACCATATTAAATAGAGTAACAAGAATAAATAACCTGGTCAATGAATTCAGTGTGTCATCATTGGTGTCCTGTTTCAGACTGAGCGCATACATGCTTACAAGGGGCTTTCTGGCCAGTAACAAGCAGTCAAATAGAAAGACAGCAAAAAATCAGCTATGTAAGTGCCCCCTCCCCTCCCCACACCACAAACTCCCAGCAAAGATACAGGAGGGTGAGGCCTTATCTGTACATTCGGATCATACATGGGACCAGAGAAGCAAACATAGCCCATGACAGTCCAAGAGTCAAACACCGAAGAGATTAGTCAGCCAATTCAAGTCAAAAAGCAGAGATTCGGGAAGCAAAGACGTGGGAATACAGATCCAATACTGAGTTGTTCCCAACAAACATCTGATCGCTGGAGGCTGCTCTTAAACCGGCCAGATACAGGTGTGGCTGAATTATGGGCATTGGCACCCTTACTTCTGAGGAACCAAGCACAGTGCCTCTTCTTGGGCCTCTGAAGCTGCCAGTGGCTCCTGGGAGTGAGTGCTCTGCCAGGATCAGGCCCTTGCCACCTGACCACCCCTGCACCTGCTCCTGTTGATTTTCTACAAAGTCAGCCCCAGTTGGCTGATTGTCTATTGACTCCTGAGACTGGCAACGTGATGGATCAGGCCTCTGAGGCTCAGTTTCTGACTTGGAGTTGACGAGAACTGAGTCCATAACAACTGCGGATAGGGTTTTATTGTTGTCATTTTAAATCATGTCTCTTTTAGCCCTAATTCTCAAAAAGCTTACAAATGCAGGATCTCCATTTTTCCATTTCCCCCCTTTTGTTCCTATTACTACAGATGAGTAAGAAATCAAGAAACAGTATTTTGGGGACTTTTTATAGGGCATATATTCAAGATTTCCTAACCCTAACCCGTATGCAGGAAAGGCAAAGGAATTAATTACACAGAATCAAAGAATTTACAGAAACTAGATTTATGTAAGCCAGGTACAGCCTTTTCAGTTCCAGATGAAGTTTTAAATATTTTAAATGAAAAATGTGCAAACGAAGAGATGGAAAGATAGTTTTAATACTGTTACCTCATAGAAACTTAGAGAAAGTGGCACTTGAAAACTGGTTATTTTCCAGCTTCTTCCATCAAGGCTTGCATTAAAGTCTCCTAAATGGCACCCAAAAGATCTTATTGGCTCCAGTAGCTCCCATTCTTTATGTGTGAAAACTTCTTGCTTTGGTTAGTTCTGCTATTATGTTGGGACAGAACTGGGCATTACAGGGTCCTTTTAAGAAAGGACAAAAAAACCTTGGATTCAGTGCATAGTGTGTTGGAGCACAAGTTTTGAGCTAGAAGTCTGTTTCAAATCTGAGCCTAGTTGTACAGTCACTGATTCCCTCAAGGTCCCTATTGGTAATAACATGATAACATTGTTAGGAGTTATGACTATTGCCAGGATGATTAAGATAATGCACATGAAATGCTTTGAGCACTTAGCAATGGGAAAGGGATGTACGAACCATTTTGTATACGGAAGAATTGGTTGTAGGGGGTCCATCCCTAAACCAAAACATGCATGTTTCAGGTATTTGGGTCTGTACACAGAGCAAAATGGGCTTTTTTTATACTGAGCAGAAGTAGCTGCAGAGCAAAGCTAAGGATGCTGATGGCTGAGTGGGGAGGAAGAAGAGTAGGAAAAGCATGGGAGGTTCAGAGGGTGGGCAGGCTGGTGGGATATGCTTAGCTGGGACTGTGGCAGCAGAGACAGCTGAGGGAAGGTGCTGGAAAGATGGACAGACAAGCAGGTGGGATGTCCTATACTGGAGTATTGGCAGCAGGAGCTAGGGGAGGAATAGGAGGTCCTGGGAAGATGGGGCAGGTGGGTGAGATATGCTGCACTAGAAGCTGTAGAGGTGAGAGAGTGGTTGATGTGTACCAGTCTTGCTCCTTGCTTCTTAATGTCCTGATTTCTCTCTTATCTGAAAAAGTAACTGGATGCTTGGCATAAGATCAGATAGTCTTCAAAGTAATTGATGGAAAATGACAGACTCTTGTCTTAATTAATTTCCCCAAATATGGATACCCACTTAAGGAATTGGGTAGAAAGAGTTATGATATGTTCTAAGTCACTTTGCTTTATATTTGAAAACTCTGATAAACAATTTGACCTGGTTCTGAAAGACAATTTTATGAGCAGTTAACTTTAGTGGCAAATGAAAAGCTGCTAAATAAAACAGGCATAAACAGGAACTACTTGATTCTACTAAGCAACCAGGTTTTGGATTGCATTGCTCTATAAAACTATCATTACTGGTTGCCTGGCAGTGCTTGCTCAAGTCTTTCTTTCTCTTGCTGCATTTCTAGTTATATGCCTGTGTACTTTCCCACCTCCCACCTTGTTAAGTGACTGTTGTTTTTCTTCTGTAAAAATGACTGTTTTGAGCAATGTTGGGTATAAAAGAATTATACAGTTTATAGTGTTAGCACACTTTATGGTTTACATTCATTTGCAACTTTTTATTGGATGGTATTTTTGTATTATACTGCATTGTCAGATCACAACAGATTAATTATAGAACTTAAGGAGGAAATTAATAAGGCATGTCTCTTGTTCTATCATAAAACCCTTTGTATGTAGCCCATAATTACCTTTGTTATTCCTACAAAATTTCTGTGCCAGATGCCTTCCTACCCCATTCATTCTTTATTTTTATTTGTATTTTAGTGATTACTATATCCTCCTTGAATAAAAACTTATATTTACTTATATCAAGTTAGTGCATTGCATGTTAGCATCTACATAATCAGGTGAATTATGGCCCAGGCAGCTGCTCTTTACCTTCTAGTACCTTCTGAACATGGCCTACAGTATTTGTTCTTTATAGTCCTCAGCCACCTAAGCCACAGACTCCTGAGACTCCTTGGTCAGAAGAGGAAAATGCTGTTTATCACCTAACAGATGATGATTTTGACAAGTTTGTCAAGGAACATTCTTCTGTATTAGTGATGTTCTACGCACCATGTGAGTATGCTTTAATTCATACCCAGATTTGAATCATCTGCAGAATGAAATGGGTGGGTTGTACATAGCAACTTGTATTTGTGTAACACAGCTTGTATTTTGAAGCATGCAACGACAGAGCAGACAAGTTGTCTAGAGCATCTTGGAAAGGTAATTGGTTTGTGGTGATTCAGAAGTGACAAACAGGTTAAAAATTAAGGGGCCATAATTGCTCC